CCTTTTTTTTATTTGTCTAAGTTATTTGATTGAATCACTATTATTCTCTAATACTAGCATATTAATATAATTAGTGTTTACTTCGCATGCACACTTCAAACTTCGAGCTTCTGTTTCAGGAAAAGCTTTTGTTCTTTTATTACAAAATTTTCGACTAATTTTCGCGTCGACCAATTTTCGTATCGACCAATTTTCGTCCGACCATTTTTTGTTCGACCAATTTTCGTAGACCCACTTTTTTTAGAGTGTAATCCCTTGATCTAACCTTTTAATCTAACACCTTATCTAACTCCTTATTCTAACTTCTTAATCTATATCTATCCTCTCACTCTAATCCCTGGATCTATCCCCTTATTCTAACCCCTAATCTAGCTTCTTAATCTACATTTATTCTCTCACTCTATCCCCTTAATCTAACTGCTTAATATTGATTTGAGTTTCATATTGGTGAATATATGTCCGTTGTATATAACGAAGGAAGAAAATACTAAGTTCGGCACGAGACCTCTTAGCTACGATACCGTTAGAAGGTATATAGCGGCCAGCCAATTTAGCACAGCTCTGCGATTTTCACATTGAAATTTGTCATTAGGCATCCAAATTTCGAGCAATTTCAAATATAAAAGCAGATCAGAATTCTCCCTGGAACAAGGTCTTCTTTTACCCTTCTCAGATCTCTTATGTTTTCACAAAGTAATTTCACACAAATTAAGGAAGGTTTATGTCATGCATATCGAGCACCTCGAAACCTGAAAATCTCACGATGGAACGTGAGAATGAAAAAGATCATATGATGATATTCGAATGCTAATTGGACTTGGCATAATACTTAATGGGTTTCGGAGATTTTTTTCAGAAACTCAAGGGTTTTCGGAACATTCGGAAGCCCTAGGATTCAGAGTTATGTTCGGAAACCTTGCTGAATTTCTAGGGAACGCTTCTACCGCTTCCGATGCTCGAAAACCCAAGAAGGTTTTCATTAAAAAAATATCGAAAATCCAAAGGTATGCAAGGATACATAGTGGATTTGCGAAAAGGTTTTCGAAACAAATGCGGTTTGCGAGGAAACCTTTCCGGTGAGGGGAATACCCAAACGTTTCGGAGAGTACAATTGAGGGTTTTGAATCCAAAATCTAGAAAACCTATTGGTTTCCGGATGCTTGGAAACCGAAAAAGTATTTTCAGAAACTCGACATAAGTCCGGAAAGCTTTCCGGAAACGTTGATGGGTTTTCGAA